AAAAAAATATAAACGAGGTCTTAAGAAACCTGTGAAACAGTGGTGATTTATAATTAATATGAATTTTTTAACCTTTCAGAACCAAAACCTGTTATTTAATATTATTAGTAACTGCTCGATATAATATTTAGAAATAAATCATAAATAGCATAATAGCACGATGTTTATGATATTATGTCTGTATTCCTGAAATTTTTGTAGATTTCTGAGGATACTTTAATAAACCATGTCTGCTCAGTGTTTCCTACGTACCAGCTGAATAAATCATGGTGGAGACACTCTTGTTAAGATGAGGGTGACTTTAATGTTTCTGAATAATTCAAAGAAGCAATCCAGTGCTCTGTCAACAACATTACTCCATCGCAGGAGGAGGAGTTATGAAAGAGGCGGATGGAAATGTAACAGAAGAAAAAAGGGATGAGAAAGATTTGGCTCCCAAAAGGACAACATCACTGAGATGCCAGAACAGAAAAGGAAAAGAGAATTAACATGAAATACAACAAAATATTATTTTAATAACGGAGACTAAACAAGCACATGCTGTTTCGCCCCCTATCAGTACAGACCAGCTACTGCAATAAAAAAGGACTGTCAAAAGTGCAGCGACCTGGAAAAAGAGGAAGGAAAGGCAAGGAAGAGAAGAAAAGAGAGAAAAAGACAAATAAAAAGAAATGAAATGAAATGAAATGAAAGTAACAAAAGAAAAAGAAAGCAGGAATGTAAAATTATAAATAAAACAAAAAACAAGTAGAAAAGGATCAGAAGGCAAAATGAAAATAAAAAACAGAACAAGAAAGCACAAATACAGAGAAATAAAATAAAATAAAAAGGTAAAATGAGAGGAAAGGAAAGCACATCCAGAAAAGAAAAGAAAAAAGAAAATAACAGCAAAAGAAAGGTAAAGGATGATGTGAAAGCAAAAAAAGAGGACTTAACCTAAATTATAACCATAGAAGGCAAATGAGAAAAGAGAAACAAGGGGAAAAGAAAGTGCATGTAATCAGAAAGGAAAGGAAAGGAAAGGAAAGGAAAGGAAAGGAAAGGAAAGGAAAGGAAAGGAAAGGAAAGGAAAGGAAAGGAAAGGAAAGGAAAGGGGGAAGCCCGGATTATTTAAAACGGAAAGGAGTAAGGAAAAGATACAACAATCTGCCGGAAACAATTTAGTGGCTCACTCGAGGCAGTCTGGGATCCCGGCTGCCTGAGTGCTTTGTCAAAAAGAAAGTGGATGAAATATTCAGCAGCAGCAGAGCTGCTGTCCTCTCTGCTCCACATCAATAACCACTGGCTGTTTGAATATGAAACACTGGAAGAAGCACACAAAATGGAGCACCACTGACTCCTGCTCTTACTGCTGTTTAATGAAACTGTAATAAATTTTTAAACCTGTACTGATATTGTTGGAAAACTAGCAGTGGGAGTGGTAAAAGTCATAGCAAAACGGTAGAAGTACGATGTGAGAGTGAGCAGCAGTAAGAATTACATGTAGCAATGTTAGTGTACATGCAAGTGATTTTAGTAGCTAATATAATATTACCTTTCACCTCCAGGAGTTTCCTACTGTTTTTAATCATTATGCTAAGCTGGTCAGCTTTCAGCTCTGTAAATGATGATCGAATGACAGATTCGCGTTTAGTTGAGGTATCCATTAACTGTGCATTTACTCTCCATTTTGGTCTTGCTCCAGGTACAAGATCCCTATTTCTAACACTCACAAAAAGCAAGACCCTTACTTGATATACATTTAATCATTGGGTGCTTCAAGGTTAGCTCCTTGTGTATCTCTGGAGCTCTTCTAGCTCTGATGAAGTTTCAACATTTGTCAATGGAGAGTGGTCAGAGTAGGACTTCTGTAGAACCATCTAAATACAGTAGCTGTTGTCAAAGTGATTCAGAGGTGCACAAGAAGATGACTGTGATGGGAAGAACAGAAGATCTGATCGGGTTATTCTGAGTGATAGTTGCACAAGGTGTAAGATGACATGGGGTGATATGAATAGGAAAGTGCAGTAAACACATGTGCTGTGCATACATTGCAGACTTCTCCATTTAAGAGCATTTCTGTTTTAGAGTCATATCTCAGAGGGGTTTGATGTTTCTAGACTGCTCTCAGTCTGCCACAGCGGATGCCTTCCTGCAGCAACTCAGCATCCTTCCTGTCCTCTTCTTCCGCTTCTTCATCTTTAACCCTTTGAGGCTACTGTCAGAGCAGATGGACTTCCTCAGACTCCTGATGTGTTTTTCCTGCTCCTGAATCTTTGACTCCAAGTGGGACTGGATTGCTGTGCCCAGAGATTCCAAGTCCACAGAGGCGCCATACACCTCCCATGTCATCCCTTGCTCATCCCATGCTACGTCCTGTGGCTTTTCTGTCTCCTCCTTATCCCCATTTTCTTCCACCACCTTCTGCACCATCTTTGTCTCCTCCTGCTCCCCATATTTCCACATGCTATCAGTGCTAACATCTCTGTCTTGGTTTTGTCCTAGTTGTTGCCCCGACATGAGAGAAGGGCTTTTCTGAAAGCTGTATGTACGCAAACAGGCAGGCAGGGAGTTTGCCTTGTTTGTCACAGCTGACGGAAGTAATGACTGGCTACGCAACTCAATGTCAATCTTGCAGATATGCTGGACAGGTTTCTGAGTAGCTGGGATACAGCAAAGGGATGGAACTGTTGGCAAAATCAAACTACCTGACTGACAGCTAGGTGAGCCAATGAGAGAGGAGGTGATACCTCCCTGGTAGAAGCTGGGACTGGTGGATGCTGACCGTTCCACAACCTCCACCTCCACTTGGACAGCAACTTCTCTTTGCCCTCCTGCCAATGGATAAAGGCTCTCCCTTGGGTCAGTCATGGTCGCCATATCTCTGACCTTCTTGTGGTTTGCTGTAATGGTGGAAACAGGATAAAAAGAACTACCCTGATCCAGTCTCTGTCTCCCCCTCTCTTGTTTTTTTTTCTCTGTGATTTTTCTCTCCACACTCTCTGTCCTCGATGAAGAGGTGTTGCTACCAGCAATTGTGGCATTTGGCTCTCCCAGGTGGCCAGTTTTACTCAGCAGACCCTCTGGTATTCTCGCAGCACCTCCTGTTGACCGTGCTGCATTGTCAGTCACAGCCCCCTGGGATTCTAATGTTCCTCCTACAGCTGCTGCTTTTCTCTCAGGCACTTTTAAATGCTTTTCTTTGACGTCAGCACCCATTTTTGCTTGTGTCTTAGTGATAGAGTCAAAAGTGAGACCCCGAGTCAGAGAGGTATTATGAGATACACTGCTGGGATTTGTTTCCACAGTTACACACGCTGCAAGTTCATTTATGGTTCCTCCCATTGTAGTCAAGGGAGTGGTGGTTCTGGTTTTGGGGCTGGAAGTAGCCAGTGGGCCTGAAATCGCAGAAACACCTGAAAGTAAGAAATAAATATTAGCTCATATATATATGAATTGCATAAAAAGCATAAATTATTATTATTATTATTATTATTATTGTTATTATTATTATTATTATTATTATGCCCAATTTTTTTCTTATATATTTTTCCAATAACCACTTGGATATTTAAAAGTAAATTCATCTCAGTGCTGATTTTGTGATCTTTCAGCATTATTGTTGTAATTGTAGTTTTGGGATGTGACTTCACCCTTTAACCCTTTAAGACCTACCATAGAACCAAGTCCACCAGAGCTTATATTATATTTTTACATGCTGTGGAGCCATTTTTGGGAGCATTTCAAGTTGCTATACATCAATACAACCATTATAGCCCAAATTTTAATAATATGTATGCATTAAGTGCATAGTAATTACATAAATTGCAAAAAAGTGCAATAAACTACAAAAAAATTGAAAATCGTTTTTGTTTACATTTCCGCAAAATGACGTCACTTCCGGTTTCGGGCAGGTCATGCGGACATGCGATAGTTCACGCTGATGGACGTAGGAAGTGTTATAACAGCTGATCGGATCGGCAAAGCGTGTTTCTGGAATATTATGTTTTTGTTGCTGCAAGTGCTTTTTATGCAGTTTTTGCAAAGCTATATGTGGAAGGAAACCGTGACCTAGGACAAGCTGATGGCATAAGATGTAAGTACAACTCCTCCGGTTTCATATGCAAAAAAAATTATTGCGCTAGCTTATCGTGGTTGCAGTGCTACCGGGATTTAAAAATAGTTACGCAAAACGGAGCGTGCCCGCTCCGACCGGCTTTAAAGGGAAGGAGTTGTACTTACATCTTATCCATCAGCTTGTCCTAGGTCACAGTTTCCTTCCACATATAGCTTTGCAAAAACTGCATAAAAAGCGCTTGCAGGAACAAAAACATAATATTCCAGAAACATGCTTTGCGATCCGATCAGCTGTTTGTAACACTTCCTACGTTGGAATAGACGTCAGCGCGAACTATCGCATGTCCGCCATTACCTGCCCGAAACCGGAAGTGACGTCATTTTCGCGGAAATGTAGTTTTTTTTTACCATCAGGCCTCATAAGCCTATACTGGTGTTTTTAAAAGTTATGTTTGACTTTATGACTTTCTTTGTCTTTCGTTTTTCCTGCAGTATATAAAAATTGGTGTATTTCAAAAATAAAACTATGAAGACACTCAAAATAAATTTCCTGTGGTGGGAAACTATTTTGTGCAACTTTTTTGTATTTACAGTTTTGAGGGATAAGCCTCTTAAATTTCTCTAACTAGAAATATATGTTAAAAAAACAAAAACGATTTTCAATTTTTTTGTAGTTTATTGCACTTTTTTGCAATTTATGTAATTACTATGCACTTAATGCATACATATTATTAAAATTTGGGCTATAATGGTTGTATTGATGTATAGCAACTTGAAATGCTCCCAAAAATGGCTCCACAGCATGTAAAAATATAATATAAGCTCTGGCGGACTTGGTTCTATGGTAGGTCTTAAAGGGTTAATTGTTTCTTCTCTTTTTCTTTTGCTTTGATCATTACACTGAAATGAAACATTGCTGTCAAATATAAACTAATATAACTAAAAACAAAAGAAACTTCCCAATGAAAAACCTTCTACAATGCATACATATGTTTTTGTTTTTTTTTTACAGAAAAAAGATGCTTGATGATTGGTTAATTGTCCATTGTTTTGGATTTTTGTCAGGTTTTTCCTTAGTACCACTTGTTTTAATAAAAACAATAATGGATTTTTGTTATTACAATCATGAATACCCAAATCTCGATTACTGTATTAAAAGCTACCTGACATGAAAGTTTTTATAGAATACCACACTCGAGTATTGGAGGTGGAGGTTGTACCACATTGAACCCTGACTGAAGCTTATTTTGTCAAACAGATTTTTACATTACAAACTGATGATCATAAGATGTCGGTTTTGCAAAATGTCTACATAAAATTAAATTGTGGTAGTAGTTACCTGGAGCAGAGCCAGGGCTTATCTGGGCATCTCTGTGTGGTCCAATAGGATTTGAATCAAGAGTTTTCCCAGCACAAGATCCAGGACTCCTACTTGCTGAGCCTGGTCTTGGAGACAGTGTCAAGGAAGAGGGCAAATCCCTCAAAGCTAGTTTTGAAGTAGAGTGAACTGGTCCAGACTTGAAAATGTTTGATCCAGCTTTAGGGTCCGTACCTTGTTTGGTACTGGATGCTGAAGTCTTGAGGTTGTCATCTTTGGACCCAGACAGACTGGTTCTAATGGATGATGGGGAAACAGATCTGACAAGGTCTATTTTAGAGCTAGAGTTTGTTAAAGTAGACATAGAAGTTGACCGTGTTGGCTCAGCTTTATAATTGGAAGAGGCATCAGAACTAGAAGCAGTCCCACATTTAGCAGTTGGGCTAGTTTGAAGATTGATTTTTGAATTTGGCAGAGATTTGGGATCTTGGTCATCTTTTGACCTTGCCATGCTGGTTCTAGAGGCCCCAGCTGTCTTAGACTCTTGAGTAGTTTTGTTTGGTTTAATATCTGACATATTTCTAGAGTCAATGCTATCTCTGGAGCTCATCCCTGACTTAAAGTTGGGAGTGGCTTTGGAAGTGAAGTCATTTTTAAGATCTAAACTATCCCTAGAGTCTGAACTTGTTTTGGAAGCCGAACCACTTTTGGAATCTAAACTGTTTCTTGACCCAATCTGTGCTTTAGAATTGTGACTGGCTTTGGAATCAGTGCCAGTTTTAGAAACCAGACTGTCCTTGGACACTGTGGTTCCCTTAGAGTTTGAAATGAATTTAGAACTGGTTTTGCATCCAAAACCAGCACTTGAATCTTTACTCTCAAGGTTCTCCTTTGGTTTCATTGTATTACTGTTTATAGGTCCGGTGGCTGTTCTCTGTGTGGATGGCTTGGGACTTACAGACGTCAATAGGGTGCTCTTGTTACTCGGAAGTGCTGATTCTCCCCTCGGACTTGGTGATTTTGTAGCTGTAGAGGATGTTTCAGAACTATGAGTTCTTGAGTCATGCCCAGTTTTTGGATTTGACTTGCTGGTTATGCTCGCTGGGTTTTGGTTGACTTCCACTATTGGTATTTGATTTGCCAGTTTTGAGCTGATAGCCTTTGCCTCTGCTTTCTGGTTAGGAATTTGGGGGCTTGCAGGTAGGTGTAAAGTTTGTGGCGAAGGTGTCTTGATCACTTTCCCCCCATCCTCTTTTTGGTTTGACTGCATACTTAGACTGACTGTTATTTTATTTGTAGTCTTTGTGGTTAGTCCACCTGTCAGAGATTTTGTAGTGTTCAGGCTCTGTATTTTTATTCTTTCAGTACTTTTGGGGATGCTAGCCATTGTTGTTTGCTCCATCTGCTGTGGTTTTAGACTTGTGTGCATCTTGGTGCTAAGTCCTGGGGCATGTTTGATATTTGCTGATTTCAGAAGCTGCTCATCTCTGCATCTAACCGTTGGCTTAGCTGTTGGTGAACGAGACAAAGCTGGGATTTTGCTTTTTTGCCGTGATGGGTCATCTCTCTCTCCTGGTGATGTCACAGTGGGTGTAAGGATGCTTGCTGACATACTTACTGCTACTTTCACCCCAGGTTTTTCACCTTCTTTGGTCACATTATCCTTTTTCTGTCCCCCATGCAGCTTTGAGGACTCGATGAATGCGCGGGGATTGCTTGGTGAGGTAATATTGAGGTTAAGGTTAAAGTTAGGTTCCAGTTCAAGTTTTGTATTAGCATCTATGTTGCAGAGATTATCTTCAAGCCCATCCTCCCTTGTAACTGGACCTTCTGATTGGATGATATCTCTCTGTCGTTTTAAAATATTTTTTGAGGTTTCCATGATAATAATGATGATGATGGTTACTGTGTATCCAGTAGAAAAAAGGACCAATTTCTATGATATTTTTCAGTTGATACTGAGAACCTGACGAGACAGATGGATAAAGAGATGATTAAAAACAATAAGCCAAGCAGAGGCTATAGATGATGCATGTTTGATTGAAAGATAGCGGTCTCACTAGGCAAAAGTATTCAAAAGTTATTGACATAATATTATGAAAAAGTGACACACAACAAGAAAAAAATGCCCCCTCACACATAGGAGTAAAGACTTAAGATTGGTAGTTCAGCCCTGTCTGGCAGCTATTTTCTGCCAAACACATGAATTCTCACGAGACCCAGTTTCACTCACGTTTGCATTTTCCCTACTGTGCTTGATACAGGCATCCATAGTCATGACTAGATTTTAAAAAGGAAATACAAGCGACCTGCTGTTTCAAAAAAAGTTCTGTACATATAATGAAACTAACTGAGACAAAACTGAAAGGAGTCACATATTTATAACATTACAATTACACTTAAGTTGACATTTTACAGCCTGGTTATAAATAGAACTACTAATGTATTACAAAAATATCAGGCAAGTCTTGATATAAATAGAAATATAATTAAAAGAGCAAGCAATAGTTTAAGCATTTTAAAGTCACTCACGGGTATTACAGAAAGCTGTCACTGGAATATTACTGCAGGCTTGTAATATATTTCCTTCATACCTGTTTAGGATCCACGTACATCACTGTTGGTTGACAAAGGCATGGTAAATGTTCGACGGTCCACCGCTGCAGACTCCCAAAGTGGAGAAAAAGTCTTCATCTGGTTCCCCGCTTCTTTCTCCTCAATGCTCTACCAGAGGAGGCACCAATGAATAAATTACAAGAGGAGGGAGCGAGGAAGTAGAGAGGAGAACGCAGGGGCTGAGAAAAAAAAGAAAAACATTATCACAC